TGGGCCTCCTCCTCACAGCGGGGACTGGCTTCCCGGGAGCTCCTGGAAATGCAGACCCCCAGGAAGCCCCACCCCAGGCCTGCACAAGCTTCATTTCATCGCTCACATTTGAGGGGCTGCCTGGCAAGGTGTCCCCAGGAGGGAGGCCCGCACCCCTGCTCACTGTCCATCAGCCTCATCAGGAAGCTGGGGCTCCTCCTGTCACTCAGCAGCCTGATTCCCTCCACTCTCACTGCCGTGGACTCCGCTTCAAACACACCCCCTCGGCCGCGAGCTCCCGCCTTGACTCTGTCACCACCCCTAGGCCTTTGCATATTTGGATTGCTGTGCTCTTCCCCGTCTCTGCACTGTCTCTGTCCTGCTCATTCTCAAGGCCACCGCCTCCTAGAGCCTTCCCTGACCACCCTGTGCACCCCAGGAGGGGAGGAGCTGCGTCAGCCTCAGACACCTCCACCTCCTGAGTCTCGCCAGGGCTGGCACACAGGGAGTGTCTGAATCATCATTGCTGAGTGAATTCATCAGCAGCAGGCTGACTCAGAAACGCCAAGACCCACTCCTGGTGAGGCCTTTCCTCATCCCCACCCCACCTGTGTATTCACCCAGGTGTGGACATGGGGTCTGGAGTCTGTAAGAAATCTCATCAGTGGGGTCCATGGGCAGTGGCCCGCCTCAGTCTCAGACATGCCTCACTGGTACAGGTCACATCACTCAGGCCCAACTCAGACCTTCATCTGCTCTGGGATCACACAGGATTTGGCCAAATTCACTCCACATCAGTCACTCCACACCCACCAACTGGAGCTGTTCTTAAAGAGTTACTGGTCCAGAGACCACCTCACCCGCCAGGTAAGGTGGACGAAGACCTCCAACCAGACAAGCTCTGCTGCCAGGGACTGAGGGGAAGAGCCGCAGGCAGGCTGGGCAGGAACAGAATTTGTTCACCAATGAGCCGCTTTCCAAGACCTTCACACGCACTGCCCGTGGGGGAAGGAATGATCCACCCGCAGTGGGGCATGGGCAGAGCCGCCAAGGTAAGCACAAGCCTGTGTGTCCTTTGGCCTGGAGATCCCACTTCAGGGAAGCTATTCCATTGAAGTGCTATGCATGGGAAATGAGGGATGCCCAAAGTCCTTTACCACACCACAACAACCAGAGACCAGAAACAACCCACGCACCCACCAGCAGGGCCTGGGAGGATCGCCGGGGGTGCTCACCACTCAAGGCAGCCCAGGGCACCGGTGTGGATGGGAAGGCTGAAAAAGGATGTGTCAGAGCCGATGCAGGGAGATCTCCCGTGCCCACTCTTATGTTCACGAGCGGGAGAGGTGAAGGCCACTTCCAAATGGCTAAAGGGGTGAGTTTTGTGTTACATGAATTTTATCTCAATTTAAAAACAATCTGTATTCACTTCTGCTTGAAGATACACGGTGACATGCTGAAAGGAAACACAGGACATGTGATCTGGTGGACACTTGTGGGTGGGGAAGCGGGCAGGGATAACAGGAGGGAGAATGAGAGATTTTAACTAGAGACCCTTTAGCAGTCGTGATGTTTGGAACCATTTGGCTGTATTACCTATTTCAAAAACATTTTTCAAATAAAATAAAAGAGACTCCTCCTTTCAAAGCCCCCATTTCCCCTCCTCCATCGGGCAGGTCCCAGAACACAGGTGGGTTTTCTCATCTGGCCAAAACCACCCAGGACCAGCTCTCTGCTGGTTAAGATTCCACCAAGAGCAGCCGGAGGGGATTCAGGCTGAGTCTGTCGTTGGGGTTTAGTTTATTCTCCGAGTCGCTGCAGCTGCTCTAGTTAGGAGAAGGAGCCAGGCCAACATGTAGCCGACTTCTGCAGGCCGTCTGCCTGTCTCCCAGCTTCAGGTGTGGGGGCATCTGTGTGCATGTGTGCGTCTGTGTGCACATATGTGTGCACGTGTGTCTGTGTGTGCATGTGTGTGCATGTGTGCGTGTGTATCTCTGTGTAACTGCATGTGCATGTGTGTGCACGTGTGCATATCTATGTGTATCTGTGTGTGTGCTCGTGTGTGCATGTATCTCTGTGTATCTGTATGTGTGCATGTGTGTGTGCCTGTATGTGTGTGCATGTGTATCTTTGTGTACCTGTATGTGTATGCATGTGTACATGTGTCTCTGTGTGTCTATATGTGTGTGCATGTGTGGGTGTGTGTGCACGTGTGCATATCTCTGTGTACCTGTATATGTGTGCACATGTGTACATGTGTATCTCTGTGTATCCGTATGTGTGTGCATGTGTGTACATGTGTTATCTCTGTGTGTATGTGTGTGAATGTGTGTACATGTGTATCTGTGTGTGCATGTGTGTACCTGTGTATCTCTGTGTATGTGTGTGTATGTGTGTGTGCATGTGTGCACATCTCTGTGTGCCTGTGTGTGTGTGCATGTGTATCTCCATGTACCTGTATGTGTGTGCATGTGTGTACATGTGTGACTCTGTGTATCTGTGTGTGTGCATGTGTGCATATGTGTGTATCTGTGTACGTGTGTGTGCATATGTGTATGTGTGTGCATGTATATCTCTGTAACTGTATGTGTGTGCATGTCTGTGCATGTGTGCATGTGTATGTGTGCATGTGTGTACCTGTATGTGTGTGCGCATGTGTGTATCTCTGTGTATCTGTATGTGTGTGCATGTGTATGTGTGGGCGTGTGTGTATGCATGTGTGTGTGCATGTATGTGTGCATGTGCACATGTGTATCTCTGTGTACCTGTATGTGTGTGCATGTGTGTATGTGTATGTGTGTGCATGTGTGTGTGCTGCAGGCAACAGAGCCACTCCAATGTGTGGCTGCTCCACTGGGCGAAGTGGGCATCCACCAGTCTGGTCACAGCCTCCCTCCTTTCTGGCCTCCAAAACATGAAGAAGATGCTCATTTTCATGCCAGTGGGGCTGGTACGCATGGCAAAGGGGAAGACTAGATGCTGATGGAAGCATTCAGTCGGTACTCAATTCGTGTGCATTTCCTTTCTCCCCTAACAAGGGCCACTTCAGACATCTGGTCCCAATCAAGGAGGGCGGCCTAGGCTGGCTTGGCAGTGCCCTGCCTTTCGGGTGGTACCAAACAAGGGTTGGATCAGCGATGATGCCCTGAGGCAGGAGCCTGGGAGCTGGTGTCTGTCCCTCACCACATGGGAATGGTGGTGGCTCGAGCTGCCCACCTCTCAGGATGGTCACCCTCACCCAGGCCCAGCTTTGCTTCCTAATGTGGGGCCGGGCATCGGACCCCATGGAGGAGCAGGGGCCTTCCTCCCGAGTGCAGAGTGGCACTCTTCAAGCTCCAGCTGCGCTGGACTCAAACCATATCAGCCTGAGGCCAGGACCAGCCCCCTGGAAAAAAAAAAAAAATAGGACCAGCGCCCTGGGGAGCTAGGACAGCAGCCTCAGAAGCTCTCTCCAGCCCGCATGAAAGAGGGTCCTTCCTGTGGGCCCCTTCCCTTCAACTATGCTGGCTGCGCTGGCCCATCCTGTGCTCCCTGAGGAAGCACAGGATGCATCCCAAGATGTATCCTCTACGAAGAAATCAATTCCATTTCAAATGAATGGATCCTGCATTTATTTACCAGAGAGAGGAATATCGTTTCTTTCTACTAAAGACCCCTGAGGGGAAGGGTGGGTATCCCATTAGGCTCAGAAAGTCACAGGAGGTGCTGGCTCTCCAAGTGATGCGGCCTCGCTCAACGCTGCTGCCAATGCTGCTGCCCACGCTGCAGACTCTAGGGCTCAGTCCTACCCATACACCCTGAGTGCCACCCACCCTGGTCCCTGCTCCACAGAGCTCTCCTGGATTCTCCAAGCTTGGGATCCACAAATGCCTGCAGAGCATCCCTGAAGGCTCTCCCTCCAAAGTGAGACCATCAGAGCTGCAGTGAGCACAGGCCTTTCCCTCTAACAATCTTCTGCTGATGCTGAGCCAGCGAGCCTGGGCCCCCACCTGCCTGATTCCTCCTCGAATGCAGTGTCCCAGGCCCCCTGCCCTCAGGCACCTCCGCGAAGGGCTTTCCTCTGAGTCCTGGCCCTTCTACGTGCCCATGCCTCCTGTGCCCTCCTGGGCAAGCCACTGAGCCCCTCAGAGCTGAGGCAAGGATGCAGGGAGTTAGCCATGCAGCGTGTCCACAGGGAACAACCCGTGCAGGGTGAGGGTCAGCCATGACGCCAGGCTCGGGGGTGGGGTGGACTAGAGGTTAGAGTTGGGAATGAAGTTGGGGTTAGGTTTGGTTTGGGGTTAAGCACAGGGCCAGAGTTGATGTTAGGGCTAGTGTTAGGCGTAGGGTGAGGTTTAGAGTGAATGCTGAACAAGAGTAATGGTTAGTCTCAGGCTTTGGTTAAAGTTAGGGTCAGGCTTAAGGTCAGGCTTAAGCTTTCTGTGAGATAAGACTGCAGTAAGTATTGGATTTGTGCTTGGTTTTTGGGTGGGGCTGATGCTGCTGCACCATTCGGTGCTGTCTTTGTAAGGCTGCTTTAGCTGGCAGGCTTGGGTTCTGCTTAGTGACATACGTGAGAAACACTGTGGTCACAGTCCAGTCTGGTCTATGCTACTGTGCACGGGAGAATTCTCAGCAAGTGTCTGTCGTATGTGTCAATCAGTCAGTGAACCATGCACCTCCCACCACCACACACAGCTGCCCGCCTCTAACTAAGCCTGTCCTCCTTTCCCTCGGGCACAGACCCTTCCCCTCTCCACCCACTCAGGTAGTAAACCTTCTCCTTCTTCTTATTTCTTATTGGAGATGGGGTCTCACTATGTTGCCCAGGCAAGCATGGAACTCCTGGGCACAAGTGCTCCTCCTTCCTCTTTCCCCCAAAGTGCTAGGATTACAAGTGTGAGCCACCGTTCCTGGCTTCAGGTAGTAAACCTCTTTACTGGGCCAGCCTAGATACTACTGCCTCCGGGAAGCCTTCTGGTGTGTCTCCAGTCCAGGTTGCTGGTGTTTGAGTATACCCACATTTCCCTCAGCAGGCATGAGCTGGAGCACACCAACAGAGTGTCCCCAGGTCCCCTGCCCTGCCCTGCACGGCCTCAGAGCCCATCCCACCCACGTGAGTGCCCCTGCTGTGCGGCTTCTCCTCGCTCTAGCATCGTGGACTCACTGGCAACAATGGAGGGTAAGGATCCCAGATCCCGGAGTGGCTGAATGAATGTGACACGCATGCAGGGGAGGGCTCCACAGATGCCACAGATGACAGTCCCCTTCCTCCCTCAGTGACGAGGGTGAGAGATGGCCGAGGCTGCCATCAACAGATAAGCAGGTGCAGGCCTCCCTGGGAGATGTCATGCCCCACTCTGAGTTCCCCAGGCCACAAAGCTGTCCCCTCACCTGGCCACTCTGTCCTGGCAGCCAGGGGCCCAGCAGCAGACCAGCTGCAGGAACAGATGTCAGGGTCGCCCAGTGCACCTGCGCTGGACCTGGCTCCATCTCACTGGCAGCCCCTGCACAGCCTCCTCTCCTCCCCTCCGCTCCCACCATGCTTAAGGAAGGCAGGGGCAGATGCAGGCAGGGAACGCTGGGACTGCTCTCTGCAGGTGAATATGCCCCCACACCGGGAAGGGCCTCATTTCAGAAGCTGCTGCCAAGACAACGAGACGAGCCCGGAACAGGGTTTTGGCAGCCCCAGAGAGGAGAGGAGAGGGTCTGATAAGGGTGGGGCTGAGGGCACTCATGCCCCTCCCTCCCAGAAGGAATGTTGTGCAGAAGACATGGAAGGGTGCTGGGCCAGACGGGACACAGGGCCGCCTGGATCTGAGCTGCCGTGGCAGACTGATGACTCGTTCTCTGCAAAAGGGGGGTGAGGCCAGTGTCCTGGTTTTGACAGTGTACTATGGCTATGTGGCCTGGTATCACTGGAGAAAGCTGCAGGGGACTTTCCGTACAATTTTTGCAACTTACTATTTTCAAAGTAGAAAGTTATAATAGAGAGTGACTTGATAGATAGTCAGATGCAAAATTTGCAAAGTTTGAGAAAATGCAAGCCTCTTATCTCACTGCCTCCCTCCCATCTCGCTGTGGACTTTGGGACACACCCACCCAGAGGGGCTCCAGAGGCTGTGGCCAGGCCCAGGCCTGACCCAGCCAGCCCCATGACGAAGACTAAGGCGGTCCCCCACACCCACGGAACAGCCAGAAGGGTGGGTCTGCTTCCCACACGGGAGGCCTGCCCAGGTGTCACTGGCACTTGGGGACCAGAACCGGGCCAGGCTATAAAAGAGAAGAGAGAAGGAAGAAAGAGGAACAGCTCTTGTGAGCCACGGCCTTGAACCCGTGACCCCACCCACTAGGGATCATGGCCCATCCTCATTGGGAGAGGCCAGGAAGGAGGTGGGAACCCAGAATACACTGTCTCCCAAGAAGGGTCTTGGGTGGAGCCAGACGTTCAGCTGGGTTGGGAGACGTCCTCCAGCCCTGCGGTGCGGACACAGGTGGTTTGCCTTAAGTCACCTCGCTGACACCTGTTACCCAGTGCGATTGAGGCGGAGACATTTGCAGGGCTCCATGTACACACCCTAATCCCCATCTCCTTCCCACAGCCAGCCCCAGCCCCCCAAGGTCTGACCTGCTGTGGGGGTGCACTGCGGGCAGGCAGGATGCCTCACCCAAGGTGCCTGGGCCAGAAAAGCCGCCACTTCTCGTCACTGTCTCATTAAAATAAATAACTTCCTCTGCCCTGAGCCGCATGCTGAGCGCTCTGTGGACATTATCTCATTTAACTCCCCACAGGCCTTGTCCCTGGGAACCATGTTGTCCCCACCTGGGGGGAGTTGAGGCCCAGAGAGGCATTACCTGTCGCAAGTCTCGCCACTCACACAAGGAGGGCTGGATGGCAGCTGGGGCCTCTGACTCCACCAAGCAGCCCTTGGGTCTCCAAGGGCCTCCGCAGGGACTATGGGCATGCACAGGCGCATTTCCTGCTGCCCCCGGACCTTGGTGCTGAACCTCAGCCTCCAGCCCTGCACTATACACAGGGCCCAGCCCGGCTCTGCTCACGTACACTCCGCTCCGGGACCCCAGTGCTGGCCGGCAGCCCACATATGAGCAGGGTCGGCCCTGGAGACCCCACCATGGCTGGCCTTCTCTTGACCTCTGAGGATTTTGCCCAGTAAGCCAGTCGGTTAGGGCCATGCTTGAGGCTGCAGGTAAATGTCACCCCTTGCCTGGCCTCGATCCTGTGCTGTGAAACTGAACAGCCCCTACCAGGTCCCAGGGCCGCCTGCCACTGGCTCTGCATAAGGATGCTTTGCGGTTCCCATTTCAGATCACGCCGCGGCCATATCTCACCACTCCCGAGAGCCCCCGTCCAACCCAAAAGCTACTCGGAGCGTGATTTATCTACAAGGGCTCAAAACCACCACAAATGTGGGCCTGGAGGGTTGGGTCAGGCAAGGACCACTGCTGGACCGCCCCCTGCGGGGCACTGAGAGTCCTGTGAAAGGTAGATAGGCCTCAGGTGCATGTGGGCCCCTTCCCTGGTTCTCCGGGGCAGGGTCTCCTGTACTTGCCTTTGCAGCCGGCACTGGGCGAGGTCTGTGGAATGAATGAATGCGTCATGCCTGACGATGGTAGCTCGCCTGGAAGGCACCCACCCTCCACACCTTCAGCGCTTTCCCGCTAGCTGCTTTTATCTACTAGCCTGCAGGTTGCATCCTCTGCCCCTCCCGGCACACCCGCACTCCTCCCGGTTCCTCCTGTCTGGGAAGGAACCTGCCCCCGACCTCTAGTCAAGGGTGGCGCTTTCTCTGGAGTCCCACAGACCCTGGATGGAGCGGGCGGAGCTGTGGCCCCCAAAGATGGGTGCAACCAGAACTTGCCAATGGGACCATACTTGGAAAAAGGGTCTTTGGGGCTACAATTAAGTTTAGGATCATGAGATCACCCTAGATTTCGCCCTGAATTCAATGGCGTCCTTGGAAGAGACACGCAGTGGGGAGGCTGGGTGGAGACGGGGGCAGACATGGAGTGATGCTTCTACAAGCCAAGGAAAGCCAAGGACTGCGGAAGCCATCAAGACGAGGAGAGAGGCCTGGGACAGAATCTCCCTCAGAGCCTCCTGCACAATCCAACCCTGCCAACACCTCGTTTCCAGACATCTGGACTCCAGAATGGTGAGACGATACATTGCTGCTGTTTGAGCAACTCACTTTGTGATGTCTTCTCATGGCAATCTTAGCAAACCCATGCCAGCACTGGCCCATTGTACAGGTGAGGCTCAGCTTGCCAGAGGTGACACAGCTGGAAACTGTCAGGGCTGGGGTCACCATGGGGCCCTGCTTGACCTTTTCAAAGGCTCCAGAAGGGCAGACTGGGAGGTTCCTCCAAACCCCAGCTCCCTGGGGATCCCACTTTCTCCCTCCCCAAGTTCTGCCTCCTGAAATGTTGGGGTCCCGCCTCGGGCTGTGCTGGCGTAGAGAACACGGGGCACTGAGCCCCTCCACCCATCGGACACCTTCACAGGCACGAAACCCAGTGTTGGAAAAAAAAGAGAGCTGAGAATGAAGCTAAGAAAGGGCCTCGTAAATCAAAATCAGTCAGCAGCAAGTAAATGGATGGGCGCTGCTGATCTGTGGAAAATTGCATTTTTACATTAAATCTGTTTAAGGGATAATGTATATTTTAATAGGTGGGTCTTGGTAGACTTTTCCACCTCAGCTATCCTTTGAAAATATTATTTACTCTCCATTTCTCATAACCTGATTGAATTTTAATTCCACCCACCACTCCTTTTTAATAGTCACTGTAAGTAAAATTATTAATGAAATTACAAGCTGCTTTTTTGGTGAGTTTTTTTTTTTGTTGTTGTTGTTGTTGTTGTTGCTGTTCAAAATGTGCTTCTACCTGGAAGGGCTAGCATTTCTCAGGTCTATTTATGGCAATAAAAGGTAATTGGATAAGCTGTGATGTTGTTACTGCTGAGCGTCTTTCAACATAAAAAGTGCCCTGGGTGTCTCCGGGAGGTGGCTGGAAACTGCTGATCCTGTTTTTAAGGCAGAAATCCTTCCCCAGGCCCCAGGGCTCTCCCCCTCCCTGCTGGTGCCCAGCCAGACAACCATACGTTCATTACCTCCAAGAATTTCTCTTTAGAAACAACGCTGTCTTGTCTGAACAGAGGTGCCACGCACAAAGCAAGCGCTGCCTCTTGCAGGGGGAGGAGGGGCGGCTGGAAGAAGTCACTGCCTGCATCCAGCTGCAAACACCCAGATTTGGGCACAGCAGCCCCTGAACAAGGTCCCTTGGCCTTAGGAAGCCCAAGCAGGCTGTGGACCTCTAAAGGCCCACCCCTCAGAATCGTCAGGAAGGTAGAGGTTGGTTGGAGGTTCTGATGCCAGCTTGGGAAGAAGCCACTAAGAGGCCTCTGAGCTCCGCACCAAATTATCTACTCAAGAAAGCTGCCGGGAGACGCATCCGTGACACAAGGCCCTGTTTTGAAATCTGCCCCTCAGCAGCCCCTCGGGGCACGAGGACTCCACGGGATCGAAGCGCAGAGTCTTCGTGGCCTTTTCCTCCATTAAAAAAAAAAAATCAGAATGTATATTTTATGGCTGTATTGGTATTAAAAAATAGCACATCTTCATATTATAGATCAAAGCATTTTCTCGACCTAAAAGTTCATTTTTCTTCTTCTGATTTTAAAGGAAATTATAACATATTTGTGGACCCCTCAGTGTTGTGCGGGCCCTGGCACGGAGCCCTGTGCCAGCAGGAGGTGTGGGCCCTGCAGCCGTTCGCACCCACCCTCCCTAGTTCTGGCCCCTTCTTCTCTCCCTGGGCCACTGGACAGCCCCAGCCCTGCCCCTAGACCTGCAGACTGTCTCCTCCAGCCCCCGTACGCTGATTCTCATGATGCCCCTCCCCTAACTCAGGGCAGGAGTTTTGTCATTTTCTCCAGGTGTGGACCCTGTTAAGAATTTCAGGAAAGTACTAAACATACAGGCATGTCAGTGTAATTTCCTACCCACCTTCAGGGTTTGCAGTCCAGTCTGGGACCCAACCTGTCCATGGGTTCAATAAGGCCTTCCCAGCTCCCTGGCAGGGAGGACTGACAATCCGCTTCAAACCCAACGCAGGGATCTGGTCCAGTCTTGGGACTGTCTCAGGAGGGGTCTGATCTCTGCACCTTACAGGGGCATTAACCCAGGGGCAGCCGGAGATGTCACCTGGGAACTCACTTTACAACCAGAGATGTTATATAAATACCAGCGAGGATGATGGTGATGTCACTCCCAGGTTCAGACACGATCAGGGTCTCCCACTGCCCAGAGGCTAAAGTCCAAACCCCATCCCTGCGGTCAAGACCCTTGGAGACCAAGGCCCCCATCGCTCCCTGTTCAGCTCCAGGCACCATCAGCTTTGCCCTGCTCTGAAGGCTGGCTCACCCCAAACCCAACCCAAAATGCCTCCCCACTCCACCAGCGGTGCCACTGGCCCTTCAAGGTCCTTCTGGAGGCCTTGGAGCCCCTCATGCGTGGGACTTTCCCAAATGAGGTCCCATCTTTGACCTGACTCCCTTCCTTCCTTGTGTCCCTGGTCCTGTTCCCCTGCGTATTTCCTCTGGAGACTCCACAGGCCTGGCCCAGAGAGGCTAGTGGAACGGAGGGCTTGATGCCTGGTCATTCTGCTGTCTGCCTGCTCTGATGGTTGAAGGCTGTGGCCTGTCTTCTCTGCACTGCACCTCCTGGAGCCTAAGGCTCTCTGGCCCTGGCTTCCAGCACCTGGCACGCGGTGGCCTTCAGGCTGTACATGGCTGCAGCACAGGGTTTGTGCACTGGGGCTGGAATGTCCATGGGCTGGGTGGGGACAGTGGTCAGGAATGACCCTGCCCCTTCCAGAGGACATCTGGGGAGGCTTGGGATTAGAAGTGCCTGCTCTTCTGGGAAATTCTTTTAAAGAGAAGGTTTACATCGTTCTCTGAGTAAGAGAGTTGGCAGCCAGAGGGACTCCTCTTCTCCATCCGCACCTGCACAGCCACCCTCCCTCCGCCAGGGATACCACACTCACTGGGGACAGCCCTCACCAGGGAGGAGCAGGAAGAGCCTTTGGGAAAGTGGGCTTCCTGCAGGGAGGGACCCTTTCAGGGCAGCCTCTGATGTCAGCTTCAGGCTTGGCCTCTAACACTGTGTGGCTTTGGGCACAGTGCGCTCTTCTTCTGGGGCCGTACCCTCCAGCTCTCTGCTCCATGCGTCTCACTGGCAGCCCTGTGCTGGAATGCTCCCTCAGCGGGACCTGCGGGTCAAAGTGGCCATCGCCTCCAAAGAGAGTCATTGTCATGTCATTGACCAAACAGCTCAAGAAACCCAACATCTGATCATTCAGGGACTATCTTCAATATCTGATCATTCAGGGACTATCTTCAAACATCTGCACCAGAATCGCCCACCAGGAGGATACATCATGAAGCTGTCATTGTTAATTAACCCACTAGATTTTTTTTTTTTTTTTTTAGACAGAGTTTCACTCTGTCACCCAGGCTGGAGTGCAGTGGCGCGATCTCGGCTCACTGAAACCTCTGCCTCCCGGGTTCAAGCAATTCTCCTGCCTCAGCCTCCTGAGTAGCTGGGACTACAGACGCCTGCCACCACACCTGGCTAAGTTTTGTATTTTTAGTAGAGACGGGTTTTCACCATGTTGGTCAGGCTGGCCTTGATCTCTTGACCCCGTGATCCGCCCGCCTTGGCCTCCCAAAGTGCTGGGATTACAGGTGTGAGCCACCGCGCCCAATTAACCCACTTCTTTCACACAAGTAAGCAAGTTTCACATCACGGCCATAAATAGACAACAAACATTACTTGTCATCCATAGAAGGTAACTGTAAAAATAAATAGCAATAGCTTGCCTAAGACAAGCTTGAGGCCTACGGCTCGCCCTGACTTTACTAAGGAGGAACGAGGGAGCTGCCACAGGCAGTCTAGCCACGGGTCAGCAGAGGACGATGGAAACCACATTGACGTCCTTGCCCTGGGCTTTAAAGCCATCAGATGCTCTGTCCCAGCCCCTCCTCAGCAGCAGAACTACCTTACTTTGGAAAACACTCAGCTTCTCTTGAATTCAGAATCTCCAACACCAGCTTCCTCACCAGTCCCCAGTAATAGCCCAGGAATCTGATGACGGGGAGCTCACTGCCTGTCCAATGCAACTCCAACATGGCAGGAAACAGCTGTGAGACCGTTCGCAGGACTCCGCACCTTCAGCTTCTCTATGAAACCACAAAAGCCTGTCCCCTATGAATGCTACTTGTTTAAAGCCAAACACCTCCGGGGCGCCCAGACAAGATCCCTATGTTCGGACAGCAGAGATCTCAGAACCAAGCTCCTGTGGAGGCTTTGGGTGAGCCCCAAATCCCAGGCTGGGGCTCAGCACGTCTTTGAAAGCAGCGCCCCATGGCCCCCGTCTACCCATCTCTGGGCTTTCTGAGGCATGAGCAGCCATAACCCAGGCCATCTTGAAGACCGTCGCCCGTGCCACTTGGAGGGAGATTCTCTACCTCGCCCAGTTTCTGGAAATGGCCGTTGCTGAGCAACCTTTGGGGACCTGTGACTCTTCCAAGCCTGTCCTTAGCCAGGCTCTGGGCACTGGGAAAGCAGAAGGGAACCAGCAGACTGGGGATGGGGAGCCAGGGACTGGGAGGAGAAAAATCATCACACTCACGCACTGAATGTCTGAGATGAAGTATTTTAAGAAAAGCTTTTTAAAAATAGCATTTGGTGATGTCTAAAAAGCAAGTTTCTACAGCCGCCTTCAGCGTATTTTCTAGGCACGCCACAGCCTGAAGGAATACGGGCCTTTCATAGAGGTCTTGGTATAAATCCGACAAACAAAGCAACATATTTCCCAGTGAGTCCCTTGCCTCTGCTTAGAGAACGAATCTAAAAAGCCACAGGGTATGGAAGGTTCTCCCTCATTTGGGCTACATGGCTTTGGGCAAGTTACCCGTCCCTCTGCAATCATCCCGTCTGCAAAATGGACACCCATAGTATCCGCATGCCCATTGTGAATGGTGTTTAGTGGGGGAAGTGACAACACAAGAAAACCATTCGTGGATGGGGAAACCTCAGCCATACATCACCGTAACTGCGGCAGCTCAGCCAACAGCCTTTCCATGTGCACACCTCACATGATGGGGCACCCACCTCCCAGAGGCCCTCCTCATGCTGAGCTGAATATACCTCTACCCCAGCTCTGCCTGGTGTGACCTCACAGGCTGTGTTCGCTCCCCAAGGCGGCTCTGCAGATGCCCAGTGGTGAACCTGCCCTCCCAAGGCTCAGGATGCCCCAACTGTTGCTGAACCTGCTGCACCCTGGGGAGTCAAACGCAGCACAGGTGTGATTTCTGAGAGAATCCTCCTTTTAAAGGCAGGCCCACATGGAGAGCTGGCCCATACTCCAATGTACTTCCCTCCAACCTGCCATCCTGAGCCACATCCCAAGCACAGGATCTAGGAGGCAATAGAATCTCACAGTAACCCAGCACATCTGCTTTAGATGCATGTGATCAGCATGTAAATCACACGGATAAAACAAAAGCTGGGGTATGCATATAAGCCGAGAATGAAGGGACATCTGGGGAGAGGCTCTCTTTTGCTGTCCATCCCACTCAGCCAAGGTCAATTAAAAAGGCCAAGAATGAATCCATGTCCATGGTGGCCAATAGGACAAGAAGAGGAGATGTGGTCTTTCCTCTAATTCAGGGTCACAGAATGGGCCCGGACCTGGTGGGGACAGAACTGGGATAACACTCAGCTGCCCACAGTGGTCTGAGGGAGGTGGGCAGGGGTGGAGATGGGGAGCAATGCCTCGGGGATGCCACAAGTAAAGCATAGCACACAGGTGTTCTGGTAGCAGTGTGGAGGGGAGGAACCTGTTATGGTTGGGCTCTGTGTCCCCACCTAAATCTCACCTTGAATTGTAATAATCACCACATGTCAAGGGCAGGACCAGGTGGAGATAATTGAATCACGGGGGTGGTTTGCCCCATGCCGTTCTCATGATAGGTGATAGTGAGTGAGTTCCCACGAGAGCTGATGGTTTTATAAGGGGCTTCCCCCTTCACTTGGCACTTCTCTCTCCTGATGCCATGTGAAGAAGGACATGTTTGCTTCCCCTTCCGCCATGATTATAAGTTTCCTGAGGCCTCCCCAGCCATGTGGAACTGTATCATCCCTCTTTTCTTTATAAATTACCTAGTCTCGGGTATTTCTTCATAGCCGCATGAGAACGGACTAATACAGAACCCTATAAAGGTGCCCTACATTATCTGAATGGACCCCTCCAATGACACACATTAGCCTGAAGAGAAGCAATAGAGTCCATTTCAACAGAGATGTTAGTCTCACCCAAGGTTACTTGCAGAGACCAAATTCATTTCATTTTCATGGCAATGAAGAGTCACAAGCCCCTCCACCCCATTTGTATTTGATATAAATATGCCTGTAACAAATAAATGCAGCTTTAGCTTCTCCATGTAGTTCAGCTACTCTAATTATAACTAAAAGCAGAGGGAAAAAAACCATATATCCTTCTTCATGAAAATCGGGATATATTGTGACTTATTTGGAGAGAAGAAAATCATGGAAGGGTTAAGTTTCTGGACACAAAAAACAAGATCTTCATTTCTGAAATCTAATTTAAAAGATCTCCCCAGGGTGAACTCAATGTATCTTCCACGGAAGGACGAGGACGGGAACGATTCTGCTGGGACCCAAACATATGGCTGAATTCTGCCTTAAGTATATCAAATAGAAGGCTCCCTTCACTGGCACGACTTGTTATAAAACAGACCTGTCAAATCAGGCTCCCCATGTAAACTTCCTGAACTGATTGAGCTAAATCACACGCCTGGCATTTCATTACCAGCTGTGGCGGAGGGCATTCTGCCATCCCGGGTGAAGGAGAGCCCTGTCGCCATCACATCAGGGCTAAAAACAGAGCCATCTCCATCAACTTGACAAAGACAAAAAACTTGAATTAAGAGCCCTGTCTAAAATTAACAGTGATTGAAAGTTAATGATGGAACAAATTTGGCAGAACTATTTAAACATGCATCAGGATGTGGTCTCGGCTTTCAGAGGGGAAGCTGAAATGATGAATGTCTGTTGAGCGCCTGCTGGGAGCGTGGCATGTGGCTTCATGCGGTTCTCCCTTCCACCAGAATCACACCCTTGGCAGAAGGTCTGATCTGTCCCCGTCACAGCTCCAGTTCTGGGACTGGGCGAACACATCTGCTTGTCAACATTCGAAGCTGTATCTATGTGCTCGTCAGCACCATTTGTTTATAACAAGCCAGAAACAACCCCTATTGGGGAACGGTTCCATAAACCATAG